GCGACAGACAGACAGAGAGAGAGCGACAGACAGACAGAGAGCGACAGACAGAGAGACAGAGAGAGCGACAGACAGAGAGACAGAGAGAGCGACAGACAGACAGACTACAGACATTAGGAGAGACAGACAGACATTAGGAGAGACAGACAGACATTAGGAGAGACAGACAGACATAGGAGAGACAGACAGTCATAGGAGAGACAGACAGTCATAGGTGAGACAGACAGACATTAGGAGAGACAGACAGACATAGGTGAGACAGACAGACATAGGAGAGACAGACAGTCATAGGTGAGACAGACAGTCATAGGTGAGACAGACAGACAGGACAGAGAGACAGGACAGAGAGAGAGACAGGACAGACAGAGACAGAGAGTGAGTATGGGGCCCCTTAACCTACCCAGACCAACCCAAATGGGACACCAGCCCAACAGAAATATTCCATCTGGAATTCTGCAAGCACCTCCAAGTCCATCGGAGCACCTCTAACAATGCTTGCCGAGCTGGGCAGATTCCCCTTACTTCTTGCAGTACAGAAGAGGCGCTATCATACTGGGGACACCTAAACATCAGCAGCCCCAACTCATACCACCATAAAGCCCTACTGGCCAACAAGGACCATGTGGGCTGCAACAACTCGTATCCACCTTGTACATCCAAAGCTCCCATGAATGCAGCCTGACCAAATATCAAATAAAAGGGCATAATTAATGAACCAGGGAAAACTATATCAAAGAATGGAGACATGATATAGCAAACTCCCAGAAACTCATCATTTACCAATCATTACAGAGGGAATACAAACTGGCCGCATACCTGGAGGTACTACAAGACCATAAGGACAGACAAATCCTGAGCCGGTACAGACTGAGCGCCCACCGCCTGGAAATTGAATCAGGGCGTCATAGACAGACCTACAAGCCCAGAAGAGTAGACTGTGCCAGCAGTGTGACCAGGGGGCCCTGGAAGATGAGGTCCACTTCCTGCTACAGTGCCCCAAGTACTCAGCACTGAGAGACACTCACTTCCAGAGACTCTCCGCTCTCATCCCAGACTTCACCTCTATAGAAGAGACGAGGAGACTCCGCATTGTATTGTGAGAAGAGGAGACGACGGTGAAAATATCTGCACAATACGTCACAGAATGTCATCGACTGAGAGGAACATGAGAGATCCTGGACTTATAAATCCCCAACATGGACTCACCCCACCCCCCTTCATATTATCCCTTAACCCTGATAATGTCCCTGGACTTACCTATTCCCTCCATATCATTCTCTACCCCGCCTCCCCCACCCCATATAACCTTATAGAGAGAGAGAGACACACACACAGGGAGAGACAGAGAAAAGACACACAGCTATAGAGAGGAAAAGTCCAAGCAAAGTGCGGTCCCATTCTCACCTCATCAGGATCAAGAACTGATGTTTCATACACCAATCCTTTCATGCCCCTCATGCCACCATACACCTAAGGAAAAGCAAATATGTTATGAGTCCAGAAATGATAAACCGGCATTTAAAAAAGAAAAAAAAAGGAATTTATTAAAATTATGAATGATTCTTTATAGAATTTGTAATTATATGTGTAAGTGAGAACATCCATACATCCTCATTGCATATGAAAAATGCATCTTGCTGCTTTGTAATGCACTACAATAGGAGTGCTTTACTGCTCCTTCTCACGATGCACGTCTACAGTTTGCCACTAGAAACAAAACACTGACTATGGTTAATCTCAACAGTATTTTTCAATTTTACATTTTAACATTTTCTAACTGGAGTTTTACCTTTGCTATTCATATTACATCTCTATTTCACAAACATTTGAAACGAGGTGCACCCATGACAGCCAGGGAGCAGGGAGGGAGGGTCAGGGAGCATTATGGGTTTTTTACATGCTACAGCAGAATCTGTTAGCTTTTAGGCTGACCATTTCCTAACTGAATCTCCATATGGCCACAGCAAGGAGCAGTCAATTCTGGCTCATGCAGTCCTGTGTAATTAAAGCTAAACAGGCATTATTCAGAAAAGCAGTTATGACTAGTCTGGTTAACAAGTGTAAGAAATCCTAGAGCTCCACCTGCTGGCAGGAGGATCTTGTACGTTTTAACATCTAGTGTACCTAGCTTTTCAGTCATCTGAGATGCTAAATACAGCAAGATAATGCGGAGTGCACTCCAGTGTACTGTTCTGAAGAAATCCTATTGTTTGCTATGGGTATTGTCTCAAATGTTAAATAGCCTTCCTGCTGGAGATGCAGGCAAAACAGCACTTCAGATTACTGCAAGATTGGTCTGCTTGATCCTCAACCAAATCTTATACATTTACACAATATCAAAGTCAATCAGCTGCTTGCTTGCCCCTTCACAAGTAAAACCTTTGCCATTAGCATGCGCTTACCATGTCCACTGTGATTTGGCCAATGACGGTATTCCCATATTGTTGTTTGAAGTTCTTGATTCTGGTCTGTTCTTTTGGAATGAGATCTGACAGGACATCTTTTAGGTTCTACAGAAATAGAGTGAGAAAAACAGCTGAGCACATACTGAAAAAGCAGCAAGCGAGAATGATAAAGTCTAAGCCCAACAGCTAAACAAAAGACCGGGAGCTTACCGTAGAAGAGCTGGCTTGTCGGGCAGCAATCAAAACACAAGGGGAGTTCTGTTTGGAGAAGAAAGAAGAGATTGTACCCATTATTCAGATGTTCGGACAACAGCGAATGAAAATAAAACTATTCCTGCCAATGAGATTCTGTAACGAGTACAGAAAACCCAAGGGAAGTACATTTTCTATAAACATAGGTGTGTAATGATTCCCTACGGTATTAACGTGCAACACCAACTGCAGTTTCCAATCTGTAATTATACTATACAAGCTAAAGATCAAAACGTGCAGCAAAAGATATTCACCACAACCATCAGCTGGGCTCTATATGTTGTCTGAACATGCATTATAGTGTCACAGCAGGTACAGTTCATATAAATTCCAAAATCCCATATCTACACGCAAATATAAAAGTTCCCTAAACCTTACAATGCAGTACATACATAACCCCTATACTACAGATGGTAACATGATTGCGCAACATTTTGGCACTCCGGCTACTGAGGCCCGAAGTCACAGCATGCCTTGTCACCATCAGCGGGAGGTCATCAGAGCAGGCTGGGATGCGTTTCTGCTGCAACATTTCCCAAATATATTAAACAGTGTAAAAATGTCTATCAAGTGACACTTTCACCATTGATCAAAGTAAACCTAAAAGTCTAAATCAGGGGTAGGCCAACTCTGGCCCTACAGCTGTGGTGAAGCTACAAATCCCATGATGCATCTGCTTCTGGGAGTCATGCCTGTGAGTGTCAGAGTCTTGCAATGGCCTAAGGGCAAGCAGCATTTTTTGCATTTGCAGTGGAACGGAACGCAGGCAATGTTTTGTCGCGTGTATGATCGCACTTGCGGGCAGGGGGTGTGGAAGCGGTGCCATTGACTTGAATGCAGGGGGGAGTTTTGTGAGCGATTGCGGTGCATTCCAGCAGCTAACGCTCTGGAACGCACCGCAACTGATGTTAACAAGCCCTAATGGAATTTGTAGTTGTACTACAGCTGGAAGAAATAGTATCAGAAAGTTGATATGACAAACCATGTTACAAAGTTACTATAAGAATACACACCAGAAGTTCCCTTTCCTATCTGTATGTGGCTCTAGGGTGGGAGCATTGCAGTACATAATTGCCTGTGGTTCCCCTGCAGATGACCTTTCTCCATTACCATTATTCTGCACTGTGTGGAGGCAGCCATCTTGGTAGAGGCAGGGCTAGGCTTCCTCATGTCAGCCTCTAGCACAGAACAGTAGTGACACCAACAACTACTTTAAATCTCCTAATACTATCAGTTAGAGGCAGCAGTGCCTTAGACTCACACTGCACATATACAGCTAGGGCAGGGATAGATAAAATATGAAATTGAGGAGCTAGTTTGTCCAATCCAGGAGCCAGCTCCATTGACAACAACTGGAGAGCAGCTCTAAAGTTGGGCATCAGCTGCCATTTTTGAAGGAGCATTGGCTACCTGGCTCTTGGGATTTGCCCAGCCCTGAGCTAGGAGGTTGTTAGCACAGGAATGCCTAGGCACACTCACACCAGGAAATGCACTGCTACCTTTCAGGGGAGATTCAAGACAAAGTACATTCTTCAGGACACAGCTTGGGCACAATTCACAATGTCTAAACATTTTTTTATAACATAACAAATCCTTACTTTTTAAATTCAGGTCCAGTTTAAAGAGATTCTCCAGAACAGAAGTAACGCCTTTCCTCTATAACAGTGAAGCCGATATGAACTTAGCCTCTCTGTGCATAAGCAAAGGGTTTATTGAATGGATCCTAAAACGTACAGGAGGTAGATCTCCCATGCTAAAGAGGACTGGAGGACTGGTAGCTAGTTTAGGTGCTGCCAGAGTCAACTACAGTATAAGGGTCCCTTATAAGGGACACCTGATGCATGCTAACATGCAGCATTTTGCATATTAACATGTTACATTATGCAACCCATTTATTTAGTACGGGCTTCCAACACACAGCAATGGAACAAAAACAGGACCTACATTTTTTTTCGGTGAGCCGCAATGCATGTTATGTGTGTTGTGATACATTGAGGGTCCATTAGCACCTATTGTAGTTACTATGCCTTGGGTGCCATTTTAAACGCACATTTTCCCGCACATTAGTGCAATTCATAGGTGTGAAAGGGTCCTAAAACTGAATGAAGATCTGCCATAACAACTAGCCCATCTCAACAGAAATGCATTCTGGCAAGGACTGAGACTTCAACCTTTCAACAAACCTCGGTAGGATATTAATGAGCTAAAGGCTATAAATATCTAAACCATCTCTCTGGGTAAATGAGACAACTCTATCCTAGGAAGCCAGTAATACAGACATCTGCCTATACATCTACATACGGGAACATATGGTTTTTGTTTCTTAGAAACAAAATGCACAAAGGAATCAGCTTGGTGTTGATGGTTATACATCATACACACGGGCAGTAACATTTGCTCATTACATGCTCAGTTCCCGCTTCTAGCTCAGCGATGCTAAGCAATGGTTACAATTTACGTTAAGGCAAACACATCATAACTATATAAAGTTCCTATTGAAACATTTACTTTTCAACCGCCTTACTTGTAATGTATAGCGCTACCTCTAGCATCTCAAACACTGCAATAACCTGCTACCAAGTCTTCCTATTCCGCTTTAGTTTAAAGTCTTGTGCAAGTGCTGCCTCACCCTGGCAGTAACAACAAAGGAGCGCAGGCAGTCAGCCACCCAACCTAACCCTATAAATAGGTCTGCTGATAACTGATATTAGTAATACATTCTTTTGTACTTTCAACCCAACATATCCCGTGCCTTGCTCAGGAGAGTTATCTTATCTGACTTTGTTACACAGGTCCAGAAATTGCAAAGTGCTGCAGAAATTGTGAAAAAAAATTACTACGTATTTAAATGAAACCTGTCATGATGGCAATAAAATTCAGAAAACAAAAGAAAAGTGAGCGCTTGTTCACACCAAGCGCGTTCCAGAAGTAGAGCAGTTACAGACCGGATCAAAACTGCGTCCAAATGTATTCCAATAGTATTTTGGGCTCTAGTTCACACCGCAGCGTTCAGTTCCAGAGCATGAAAAAAAACTGCAGCAAGCCCTATTTTTCCTGCTCTGGATTGCATGCAAACACATCAAAACCGCATGCAAACGCACTGGAACGCACTGAAAGCCATTTTTTAAACCAAAAATGGCCTGGAACGCATCAAAAACGCGGTATAACACTGCACTACGCGTGCAGAAACTCATGCAGATCTGGTCTGCATTTGGTGTGAACAAGCCCTGAAGGTGCTGGATCTCTCGAAGCAGAAGTTGCTTTTAGTAGAAGGAATGATTATTCTGCGGCATCTCCTTCCAGTAGTGGTGGCCAAAGGTCAACCCTTTGCTCGAGTAGGGACTGGGTAGGAAAGGGGGAAGCCACCAAAAACAGAATGTATAATGTCCGGATTCATTTTATTCAGACTCTTGGTTCATATAAAATAGGATTTTTATTTTTTTTTATGAAACAAGCTAGATTTCTAGGTCCCTAGGCCACCAGGTCCTTAGAAATGAATCGGGTCTTTCCAAAGACCAGACTAACTTGTCCCACAACGATAGAATGTTGCATTGTAGAGGTCTGAACTGAAACTTGGGCAAATGGGACTTCCTTGAAGAAGGCTACTATCAGACCTTTTTCAAGTCAGACAGCCACTGGCCTGGAGAGTTAAAATCTGAGACAAAAGTGTCTTAGGCCTGGTTCACACTTAGGCAACCTGTGACCGCACGGCAATTGTGCATGAAGCCGCGTTGTCATAAAATCGAACACCAGCACCTATTGCGCTGGTGGTGCTATTCTTTTCTAATGGCACCCCAGTCGTGGCAGGCAGATGGATGGATTCTGTCTGCGTCCGAGCACAGACACCCGGATCTGCACAGATGTGTAGTTCGGGTGTGTGTATGACAGCGTACGGCCGCGTACAGGCTGTTAAATGCAGCACCTGTCCATCGTGGGAACAGCCCGATACGTACGTGTATGGCCCGAGTTAGCGCAGTGTGAATGAGGACATACTGAATTTGTCCCCTCACGTACACTGGCTTATTGAAGTCCACAGCATTTATATAACAAGTTATCCAATGGAAACATCTAAATTCACACATGAACATATGCTTTACTGTACAATCACAATGCAACAAGACAGTGTTAATAGAAAACATATCTAGACACCATATCTGCATAGCTAGTGGAGTATAAACCCGGCCCTGCCCTAGACCAATAATGCAACAGAACCAGAGCTGAAATAGCACAAGGACACGAGACCAGGTTATTCGTTTACAGCCCGTGAGCCTAGTTGTTTGGTGAGATTTTGCAGTTCATAGACATTCTATAACTACAGTTCTTAAAATACCATTCACATTCCTGTAAAATCTATAACAGGAGCAGCTCATGGAGATTAATGCTGGTTCTAGCTGCATAAACCAGCTTCAAACTGGGAATACATCTATAACCATTGTCACTCATACTACAATGTCTGAGGTAAAATCGGCAGAATTCATACCGCCTTCTCGATTCTAAGTTTGCATATAGACAGGTTTCTCTACTGTGTCTTTTTCCTTATTTGTTCTGCCCTATGAATGTGTACTTGTCACTGTATACATTATGTATCGGAATTACTCACTTTATGCATCTCCAACTTTGTCCTCCATCACAGGAAATGGTGGCTCTATATAAAAACTGCATTAAAAAAACCAGGCTTGTGTCACATATTTGTGTGTTGCTTGTCATTCCTTTAGATAGAAATAAATAACTTCAGCTATGGCATGAGGGATACCTCATGTAGGCCAAGGCCAGACAAACCCCTTTTGGCAAGTAGCCACTGTGACTGGAAATAAAAATCTCCAAGTGACCAGAATGTCCTGGTACGCCGGTATGTGTTCGCTCACCTCCCGATCTACTGAGCCGACCTGTGACAATCTCATTGTCACAGGTCGGCTAGAACTATGAGGTGAGTGAAAAGCACTCACCTCATAGTTCTCCTTTAAACCCCCCCACTCCGATCTCATTCTAAGAAAATTAACTGCTAC